AGGATCCTCAGCCCAATTAGCATCAGAAAAGGCACGCAGTTCAAGAGAGGAAGAAGCAGAGTAGTGAAGGCCATGGAACAGAGTGCCTTTGAGGTATCGAAGGATGTGGAGTAGAGCAGTATAGTAGGGAGTCCGAGGAGCCGACATGTACTGACTAACAATGTGAACAGCATAGGCAATGTCAGGACGAGTCACTGTGAGATAGACAAGACTACCGACGAGCTGGCGATAAAGAGTAGCATCATTGAGGAGAGCCCCATCGAGAGGAGTAAGACGAATCTGAGGATCAACTGGAGTAGATGTAGTTTTGCAATCAGTAAGACCAGCACGAGCCATAAGATCGGATGCATATTTGGCCTGAGATAAATAAGAACCAGAAGAATCATGAGAGACTTCAAGGCCTAAAAAGTAGTTAAGAGTACCAAGGTCTTTCATCTCAAACTGACGGTGGAGAAAACGTTTGAGGTGGAGAATACCAGCTGCATCATTACCAGTGATAATCATATCATCCACATACAGAAGGAGAAGAGTGGTACCATGAGGAGTAGTCCGGATAAAAAGAACAGAGTCATAGGAGCTAGAGGTGAACCCGAAGTCATGAATGGTAGAACTGAACTTAGCAAACCAAGCGCGGGGTGCTTGCTTGAGGCCATAGAGGGCACATTGTAGTTTGCAAACCTTATGAGGGGGAAAAGTAGACCCAGGTGGAGGTTGCATGTAGACCTCCTCAAGAAGATTACCATTGAGGAAAGCATTTTTGACATCCATTTGAAAGAGCTCCCAGTGGCGAGCAGCAAGGTCTTTCATCTCAAACTGACGGTGGAGAAAACGTTTAAGGTGGAGAATACCAGCTGCATCATTACCAGTGATAATCATATCATCCACATACAGAAGGAGAAGAGTGGTACCATGAGGAGTAGTCCGTATAAAAAGAGCAGAGTCATAGGAGCTAGAGGTGAACCCGAAGTCATGAATAGTAGAACTGAACTTAGCAAACCAAGCGCGAGGTGCTTGCTTGAGGCCATAGAGGGCACGTTGTAGTTTGCAAACCTTATGAGGGGGAAAAGTAGACCCAGGTGGAGGTTGCATGTAGACCTCCTCAAGAAGATTACCATTGAGGAAAGCATTTTTGACATCCATTTGAAAGAGCTCCCAGTGGCGAGCAGCAGCAACAACCAGTAAACTGCGAACAGAGGTAAGCCGAGCAACAGGGGAGAAGGTTTCCTCATAATCAATCCCATATTCCTGGTTAAAGCCCTTGGCAACAAGACGAGCTTTGTAACGTTCAATAGAGCCATCAGAATGAGTCTTGATTTTGTAAACCCATTTGCAGCCAATCGCAGTTTTGCCAGGATGAAGATCAACAAGATCCCAAGTATGAGTTTTGTCCAAGGCTTGAAGTTCATCAGTCATAGCTTGCTGCCAAAGAGGATTAGTACAAGGCTCACGATAGGAGGTAGGTTCATAAGTAGAAAAGGCAGCAGACCCAACAATATAATCACGAAGGTGGATAGGAGGTTGAGTTACCCGGTATGGTCGACCCGTAGGAGGATCGGTGGGAGGAAGAACTGGTGGAGAAGAAGGTGGTGCAGGGAGAGGTGGACCTTCAGAGAGAGCAGTCTGGTCAGGAGCAGGAGTGAGCAAGGGCGTCTTAATGAAGGAGGAACCTGTATCAGAATCATCAGAGAAGAGATCTATGGAAGTAAACAGTACATTAGTGGAAAGTGCAGGTAAGTGAAAGGAGGATAGGGAGGAAAACATTTGGTGCTCCCAAAAAACAACATGGCAGGAGATATGAAGACGTTTAGAGATAGGGTCCCAACAGCGAAAACCTTTATGTTCAATTCCATACCCAAGAAAGCAACAAAGACGAGAACGAGGTTCAAGCTTGGTGTGTTCATGAGATTGAAGGAGAACAAAGCAGGTGGAGCCAAAAACCCGAAGATTAGTATAGGGAGGGGGAGTGCCATGTAGACGTTCAAAGGGAGTTTGATTATGGATGACAGGGGTAGGAGCACAATTGATAGTGTAGACAGCAGTGAGAGCAGCTTCCCCCCAAAAGCTTTCAGGGCAGGAAGAAGAGAGAAGGAGAGCGCGAGTAGTGTCAAGAATATGCCTATGTTTCCATTCAGCACGGCCATTTTGCTGGGACGTGCCAGCACAAGAACGATAAGGTAGTGTACCATGACTCTGAAGAAAAGAAAGGAAATCTGAATCCCGATATTCCATAGCATTGTCAGAGCGAAAATTTTTGATGGATTTGGAAAATTGGGTGTGTATCATTTGGGCAAAGCGATAATAAGGGGTTTTGAGTTCAGACCGAGTTTTCATGAGAAAAATCCAAGTAAACCGGGAAAAATCATCAATAAAAATAACAAAATAACGAGATCCCCCCATAGTAGTAGTAGGGGAGGGGCCCCAAATATCCGAATGTATAAGATCAAAAGGTGTACAGGAAACAGAGGTACTTTTATTGAATGATAAAGCAGGTTGTTTGGCAAGTTGACAGGGTATACAATCGAAAGTATCTGGAATTACATGACCCAATTGTCCACTAGAAACCAAAGACTTTAAGCGATTAATAGAAATATGCCCTAAGCGACAATGCCAAAGATGAAAAGGAGATAATGATGAAGTAGATGCAGGAGCAGCGATCTGAGGGGAGTCAGGAACATGAAGGTGAATGAGCTCATAGAGACGTCCGTGCTACGGCCGATCCCAATAGTCTGCTCCGTCTGAGGGTCCTGCACCAAACAATGAGTAGTAGAAAAGGTGACAGTTAGACCAAGTTCACATAATTGACCAATAGATATAAGGTTTAAGGTGAGAGCAGGGATATGATAAACTTGAGATAAAGATAAAGAAGATGTGGAAACAGTACCAATATGACGGACAGTCATGAGAGAACCATCAGCAGTTTGAATTGAGGGAATATGAGGAGATGAAGAGATGAAAGAAAATATAGTTGAACTGGAGGTCATATGATTACAACAGACAGAGTCAAAATACCAGGAAGAGTTACCTGGAATTACAGACAAAGCAGTATGAGGAGGTGTACAAGAAGGGGAGAACATGGCCTCGACATCCGTTGGAGAAAAGAGAGGAGTTGAAGGAGCAGGAGACTCAGAAGAACCCTTAGCGGCAGCAGCAGCAGTGTGATGAGACTGATTCCCGGAATGAGACTGATTCCCGGAACGATGAAAGCTCCCCCGAGGAGAACCACCGCGAGAAGAGTGGCTGTTGGAGGATGAGCGGGATGGATTGCGAAAACAATCCTGTTGCAGATGACCAGGACTAAGTTTGTTGCAGTATCGGCAGGTTCTGACGGGGCAATTGACCAGGAGATGTGTTGAAGGAAGGCCCCGATTTTGACAGTAGAGGCAGGCAGTGGTCCGCTGGGTGAATGATGGCCGGTACGGAGGAGTGGCAAGAACAGAGTCTACATGATGAGTTTGGAGAGTACCAAGACGAGTTTCCTCTGATAGCAACTCAGAAATAGCTTGTTCCAGAGTGGGCAAGGGATGGCGATGAAGAAGAGAGGCACGTACGGGCTCAAAAGATGAAGTGAGAGCCATGAGAAAGTGCACCAACCTTTGCTGATTTCGATAGGCAGTAAATAAAACAGCATCTTCTCGGTGAGGCCAAGTCGGTTCGGAAAGAGCAAGCTGGTCCCAAACGGAGTACATTTGAGAAAGGAAGTCATTGATGGACTGACTAGATTCTTGGCGCATCCGATGAAGTTGGCTCTGAAGTTGATATTGATGAGCAAGACCAGTAGTCTGGTATCGTTCTTTCAAAAAATCCCAGATGTCTTTTGCAGGAGTAGTGACAGAGTCAAGCTGAAAGCGACCAAACTGAAGACTGATAGAGGTAACAGAAGTATTTCGAAACGAGGTAATGATTTTGGTAATTCTTACTGTCCCATTCCTCAAGGCGATCTTCATATGTAGGAGTAGTAGGAGAAACCGTGGTTTCAGCAGTGTCTTTCACCGGTTGGGTTATGTCCCCGGTGATAATTCGCCAGAGCTTCTTTCCTTTGAGGAAGGAAGACATGGCTTGGGCCCATAGAACATAGTTGGAACCATTCAAAATAACGGAAATGGGATGGGAGGCATCATGATGATCCATAATAATAGTTGAGTAGGGCTAAATTGATAGGAATAGACCTGTAGGAGCAAAATTAGGTAAAACAGAGTGTACCAGTGAGTCCGGAAGGTCGAAAATAGCTAGGAAAGGTGGGCTGTGTAGAGATGATGACAGCAGGATGGAAAATGATGTCAGCGGCACACGTTAGCAGAGAGGGCGTGCGGCGTATAATAGCAGAATGGCGCACGCGGGTGCACAATAGTGGAACGGCGCACGCGCGGCTCACGGTAGACGAATGACGCACGCGGGTGCACGGTAGCAGGCGCGGCGCACGAAAGGGCAGAGTGGAAGGCGCGTGAAGGCGCGTGTGAGCGTGGCAACGGAAGCAGAGATGCGCCGAGCAAAAAGGTGGTGCGTGAGAGCGTTTCTGGTGACGGGCTTGGTGCCGTTGGAATCGTAAGGAGATTCCGAGCTGTTTGGTGTAGTTCCACTGTGTACGGGACTAAGCACCAAAATTGAAGAATGCCAGAATTGTATTACTGGGCTCTGATACCATGAAAGATTGGTAAAGAGAGAGAGCAAGAGAAAGAGAGAAAAGAGAGAGAGAGAGAGAAAAAAGAGAGAGACTGGAATATTCAAGTCTGTTATTGTATTTGTGTGTGTTTACAAGAATGAGCTCTCTCTCTTTATAGAGAGGAGAAGGGGACAATGGAGCACCGAAAGCATAGGACAATATTAAAAGAAAACAATATAAAAGTGAAAGTGTGTGGTAGTGGGTTGACAGCTACAAATGCACTATGATGTATATTGGGTTTACAGCTAGAAATGCACTATGATGTATATTATATGTTAATATTATATGTTAACAAGAAGAATATTCATTGTTGCAGATGAATCCCATAACCACAAGAGGGTGATGGTGAAATATAAAACTCAAAAGTTGAATCAATTGAATTTTCAAGGGTCAAACAATAAATTATTACAATTATTCAAAAGTTCCATTCCATGTAAGAACCCAAAAATACAAAAACAAAAAACAAAAAACAAAAAACAAAAAAAACTGAAAACACTCATTTTGTATCTTTCCTACTGCAGCTCCAAATACAGCAGAATTTTTTCTTACGGAAAGACACTAACAGCATATGAAAGCAAACATACTGAATTTTCAGCGGAGCTGAATCAATGCAATCATTCATTCATCCCACAAACGTGCATAATGGCACAACGCCGACTTGTATACTGAGCCCGCCTCATTATGACACTTGGGAATCCTATTAAATGTGAGAGGAGAAAAGAAGAGGTGACGACGACAAATTAAGCATCATATTTGCAGAGGTCCTCGAAACCCATGTATTCGTGTTGCTCAATCTTCCCAATCATGTTCGATATGCCTACCCCACCTATCAAAAACAAAAATAAATTGTGTCAAGAAATCAAGAATTTCACAAGTAGACTATACACATTGTAGTTAATGCTTTCAAAAACAGTAAAGCTGTGAAGACTCATTTAATTTATTGCCTGGAAATTTCACCAGTCCAACTAATGGGAAAAATGAAGCTCACCTAGGGAGATTGCGTTGACGAAGATCGTGATAGCCAGAATGAAGATGATTAAGGATGCCCTTCCCTGTATAATGATCAGTTTCCGTACAACATGTTGCCCAATAAAAGTAGCAACAGTTGCCGCAGCAACAGTTGCCGCAGCAACAAAGTAAAGAGCTGCACAAACACACAAAAAATAATCCAATTCAAACAAAATTCAAATGGAACTCAAGTCTTTTACTCGTTATATTTTTAGATGATTTCTGAAGAGAATAACAGAAAACTGCTTTATAAAAACTGTTTCAGTAATATGGAACACTAACTTACCATAGGGTACTGGAAAACGTTTTAGAAGATAATATTCTACGACAGACATTGATGAGGAGAAGGTCATTGCAAAGGTGGCTGTAGCACTTGAAACCTGCACGAACGTTCTCAAGGAGTTTAGGACAAGACAGAATGCAAATGCTTGTAATTAACACAGCACAAGGAACCGTTTCAACGTCATGGTTATTTCATTTTCCTTCGCTATCTAAACATCTGTCTAAGTTTGGGATTATATGAGATCTACATTTTGGAAACTTCAATCACTGTCCACCATGCTTTTTCCTAAATTTCCAATTTTATCCCTGAAATGTTTTGTTCAACATACTACACCTAATTTCCTCATCCAGTCATTAAATATCAAATTATTCAAAAATATCCTAATAATAAAAACAACTCCTGAATTATTTGCAAACTTGTTGAGTTATTACAACAATCCACACAATCTGCTTTTACAAGACCCAAAAAAGAAAACTTCCGCCGTTTGTGTTAAAATTTTAATTTACGCTGGCTTACTCAAACAGTCAAACAGATTCTGGAAACAAAAAGTCAAAAAAAAAAAAAAATTTGAGATCCTAGATTATCATGATTGACTTGTCCTGTTGTTGATGTTAGATATAGTGGAAATGTATTGCGAAGGTAAATGAATGAAGCATAAACTCTCTTTGATGTCACTTGGAACAGATTTCATTTTCCACAAAGCAAACAGGATAATTTAATAATAAGGCAATATCAAGGGAAGGATAAAAAACCTAATAGTGATTTACATAACAACGAATCAGCCATATTATTCTAACCTGGATTTACGTAGTAAAAGATAACCAAACATGAATAGTGAAATATAAAGTTACTACTACCCTTCTCTTTCGTTTATTTATTTAGTTTTTCTTTTTCACTCTAGTGCAAACACAAAATTTTGAATAAAAAAGAAAAGAAAAGAAAGGCGCAAATTACCTGAGGAGGGACTCCCAGCTCCAAAAACGATGGACCTAAAATAAATCCTCCACCTAAGCCAAGCAGTCCACCAACTATACCAGCCAGTACGCCACAGGAGCAGTACAAGATCAGCTGGTGTGCTTTCAAGTTAGTGCCTGTATCTCCTCTTGATGAAATCTGTCTTTTCCCCTTGTACAGGCCAATTGCCTCATACAAAGTTACCGCAACAGAAACTGGGATCTGCAGAACAATTGAAAAGATAAATTCACATAGATGCTTGAAAACCCAGTTTGCAGTCTGTAAAGCTAAAAACTTTTTTTTGACACTGTCGTTATATCAACAGAAACTTTCAAGTTAGTTGTAATTTTTACATGTACAGACTCAGTCCAATAGAGGAAAAAAAACTACATGAATCTCTTACTTTTGGGTGAAATAATAAAATTTACCTGCAATAAGTTCAAGACCCAATCTGCTGTTGAACAAGTGGCTGTACAGTTCTGTTTTCAAAAGAAAAAAAAAACAAAACAAAGCAACAAAAAAAAAACTTATAACTTAATAAGATGTACAAAAAGGAAAAATCAAATATTTACAAAAATAAAATCAAAAATGAGGA